TATATATATATATATATATATATATATATATATATATATATGTATGTGTGTGTGTGTGTGTAAACAGTATTAGTAAAACTATCAACAATTATCCAAACAGCATCACTGACTTGAACATTTTCTCATAGTATTTCAGTAATGTAAAACCTTTTGAACGATAAATCAAATCCACTGGAAGAATAAGATAAACATTTTGTTTTGTCAAATGAACTTTTAAAACTATAAAAGTACAGTTTAAAATTGATAAAATCAAATTCGTTTTTGCAACTGACACATAAAAGCTTGAAATTTCAAAACCAAAATAAGTATTTTATATACTAGTTCATGTAAACTTTCATCTCAAAACTATCCTGAAAAAGATATTTTTACCTTGTAGTAATAATTTCATTTTACATTTGTTTTTTTTAGACCTGTTGCTGATATTTAATAATGAAGCAAGTATTGATCTATTCTTAAAAACCTAGTTCTTGTGATGGACAATGAACATTTGTATTTGTTTTACATCTAATATGTATAGCCAGTTGTCTTAAGTATGTATATAATACTTCGAACATTCACAAGGGCTGGATTGAAATCCACTTTTTTAGAACATTTTAGCTTAATGTGCATATTCTGAAGATCTTGGCAAGTTTTATAAACATCTAAGTCAAAGGTTAGTGATCATAAATCACATGTTTTTATTGGGTTTTCATGAAGTTTTACTTTTTTTTTGGACAAAACATCTTTTTTCTTTCTTTCTTCCAAACGTATTGCCATTATTCTCAACTAATAATTGTACTTGAAATTAATTTTTGGGTTTAAACTTTGTGATAGAATTTTTTTATAAACTTTAAGCCTAGGTTATATAATGTAATTAGAAAAATAACTTCCGGTACATGTAACATATTGATGGATTTGTGATAGTCATAATGTGGAGAAAGAATTAAAAGTAAAAAAATTAATTTATATAAGAGCTTGACTCGATTTTCATAAATTCATATAAAATTCGAGAATGTTGGTATGATACTACTATTTTTACACTGATTAAAAATCTAATATATATATATATATATATATATATATATATA